CAGCCCAGCCCATCCCCAGCACAGACCCTAGACAATCTGGTCTGCTTTCTGTCACTACAGATTTTATGTCTCCTTCTTAAGATTGAATTTAATGGAATCACACAGTGTGTATTCTTTTAAGACAGGCTTCACTTACATTGTTAGAAATAGAAGCAGTTTCTTTTGATTTCTGAGAAATAAATATTAGTAGAAATAAATATTTAGTAGAAACTCACCATGTGTTTAATTACCTACTGATGGACATTTTAGTAGTTTAAAATTTGGAGCTATGAACATTCATAAACAAATCTCTTTTAATTTTTTCTGGGTAAATACCTAAGGCTAAAGGGTATGAGTTAAAATGTGTCTGTCCTCTCCCCCAAATGTGTATCTTGAAGCCCTCTGAATTACTTTATAATGTGCAGTATGATTAGTCTCGTCAGAAGAGCAACATTGTCTATACAAAAGATGCCATCGATCTCAAAGAATAAAGGAAAAGTATTAAGAGGGCGTTGCTTTCTGTAAGCCAGGTAGGCAGACCTCAGAAGTAACCAAACTTGCCAATATATTGATCTTGACTTCCAGCTTCCAAAACAGAGAAAATAAAGTTTTTAAAAAGATTTACTTATGCATACAGGTGCGTTAGTGCAGGCGGTGAGAAGATTCACCAGAGACAGAGAGGGGAGCAGAACAGACAGATCTATTGAAATAACACTGCTGAGGGGAGCAGTGGGACAGACAGAAGTCTGCTGAGTCATGTGGGTCACCTCCCTGGCTGGAGATCAAACTCATATTGCAGTGGCCTGCTGATTGCTTCATAATGCCACATCGTAACCCCTTGTGGCACCAGGGAGGCCCGAAAATAAAATATTTCAACTCATCTAGTCAGGGATATTTTACTGTAGCTAATACTAGCAAGCTAATACACTGGACTATATGGTAAATGCTTTTCTAAGAAATGTTCTTTTAAAGTGGTGGTGCAGTTTTACATTCCTGCCACAAGATCTCCAATTGCTCCACATTTAAGAAAACATAGGTACTGACAATCTCCTTTAGACATTCTATTGGCTATGTAAGAGTATCTCATTGTGATTTTTTTTTTTTTTAAATGGGACCTCTTTTTTTTTTTAATTAATTTATTTATTCATACAGAACTGGGGTACAAGCCAGAGATGTGGAGGGTGAGAGGATTCACCAGGTACAGAGCGGGGAACAGAACAGGCAGATCAACGAAGTACACCGCTCAGGGGAGCAGGGGGCGGGTCAGGAGAGGTCTGCCGTGCCATGTGGTCACCTCCGGGGCAGGCGGGAATCGAACTCATGCGGAAGTGGCTCAAGCTTCTCAGTGCAGTGCTTTAACCCGCTGCGCCACCAGGGAGGGCCCCGTGATTTTTTTTAGTGCATTTTCTTAAAAGACTAATGCTGTTGAGTGTCTTTCCATGGTCTTAATTGCATATGCATGTATCTTTTTTGGCAATAGTTTGTTCAAATCTTTTTTTCTTTATTTGGTTTATCTCCTTATTACTGACTTGTAGGGACTCTATATATTCTAAATACAATCTTTTCACCAGATATCTATATCCATCTGCTTATGTGTGTGTATAAAAATATAGTGTTTCTCCCCAGTAGTCTCCCTTTTCATATTCTTACTGGTATCTTTTTGGAGAGCAAGAATTTTTAATTTTGATGGCCTGTCTAGATCTTTTTCCTCTTAGGGCTTATGCTTTATATCTTGGAAATCTTTGCTTGCTGAAGTCAAAGATTTTCTCTGGGGCCTTCCTAAGGGGTTTAGTCTTGCACTATGAATAATCTGCAGCCACCACAGCATGAGCTTGAACCTGTCTGGGAGCTGGCCCATATGGCACAGCAGACCTCCCCTGCCCCACCTGCTGCTCCCCTCAGCATTGTATCTCAGTCAATCCACCTGTTCTGCTCCCCACTCTGCCTCTGGTAAATCCTCTCGACCCCCCTCACCTCTGGCCTGCACCTAAACTATTTGCCTAAATAAAATAAACCTTTAAAAATATTTCTCCTAAAACACTATTAGCAGCACTCCCTGGTGGCATAACGGGTTAAAGCACAGCACTGAGAAGTTAAGCCACTTCCGCATGAGTTAAATCCCTGCTTGCCCCAGAGGTGATGCCATCCACATGGTGCGGTATACCTCTCCTGACCCGCCCCTGACCAGCCCCCTGCTTCCCTCAGCAGTGTACTTCAGACGATCTGCCTGTTCTGTTCCCCATTCTGTCTCTGTGAAGATTCTGTGAATCTTCTCACCACCCCTGCACCTCTGGCCTGTACCCCAGTTCTGTATTAACAACTAAATAAATCTAAAAAAAAAAAACAAACAAACCACTATTAGCATTAACATTTAGGTCCATGACTAACTATAACATTTTAAATGTGGTGAGAAATGAAGTTCATCCACATGTATGTCTAATTGTTCCAGTGTCTTTGTTAAAAAATTTATCCTTAATCTTTTGAGTTATTTTCTATAGTTTCTTTTCTAACTTCTAGCTTCCTTTTATTAAAATTTCCCAGACTAAAACAAAACAAAACAAAATTTCCCAGACTGGCCCTCCCTGGTGGCGCAGCGGGTTAAAGCACAGCACTGAGAATCTAAAGCTGCTTCCGCATGAGTTCGTTTCAGCCTGCCCCGGAGGTGACCACATGGCGTGGCAGACATCTCCTGACCCGCCTGCTGCTCCCCTCAGCAGTGTACTTCGTCCATCTGCCTGTTCTGCTCCCCACTCTGTCTCTGGTGAAGCCTCTCGCCGCCCCTGAGCTTCTGCCCTGTACCCCAGTTCTGTATGCACAAATAAATAAATCTTTAAAAAAAAAAAATTTCCCAGACTGACTTTTAAATACTTACTGGAGTTAAAATCTTAAAGTTGAGGAAAATCTATAATGGGAATAAATCCACTCACCCAAAAATTTTGTTTACTACATCATGAACAAAACAAGTACTTATAATTTGCCTCAAAATGCATTGGAAAATGCTCCTACTTTTCTAACAATTTGTAAATAAATTTTTGGAACACAAAGTATTTTTTTATAATAGTTTATTTTTACACCATTCTGTCCATTTTTTTTTATCTCAATTGTAATCCCCGTGGATTTCCCATCACCAAGCCACCCATTTGCCATCACCATAGTCCCATGCATTCCCTCCCATTTTTGATCCCATTCCCCACTCCACCTCCACAAAGTGTCTCTCGTATGTCGTTCATTATTCTTATTTTCTGCCTGGTTCATTATACTCCTGCTGTGAGCGAAACCATCCAGTATTTTTCTTTTTCTTTCTGGCTGATCTCACTAAGCATGATCTTTTCCAGCTCCATCCAAGTTGCTGCAAAAGACATGTTTCTTTTTTTTTTTTGGTTGCTGAGTAATATTCCATTGTGTATATGTATCACATCTTTTTAATTCAGTCATCTGCTTTTGGGCAGTTGGGCTACTTCCATGTTTTTCCAATAGTAAATAAAGCAGCAATAAACATGGGGGTGCAGGTATCTTTTTGAATCAACGTTTTTGTGTCTTTTGGGTAGATACCTATGAGTGGGATTGCTGGGTCGTAGGGAAGTGCCATGTTAAACAGTTTGAGGAACCTCCAAACAATTTTCCTTAGTGATTGTACTAGTTTGCATTTCCGCCAGCAGTGCAGGAGAGTTCCTTTTTCTCCACATCCTCGCCAACATTTGTTGTGGAACACAAAATATTCTTAAATGAGTCATATTCTGTATTGAATGTGGCTATTTTAATTTTCAATGGAGGGGTTCTATTTCTCTAATTTTCACAAAGCATAAACTGTTATTCACAAAAATTTAAGTTGCTTTTATAGGTTTTCCAGACTTTTCACATGTTAAGTTGTTGAACATTTTTGGGCATGATTTCCAATGGAAAAAGAAAATTACTATTAAGTTGGTATAAATTCCTGAGGGAAAGAACAAATGTTTTTAAGCCATATTATACTATTTTTCTAAAAATGCATAGTTTTTTTTGCTGTATAGTATTTCGTTACTCTTCATGAAAAAAAAATGATGAATGCAATAGCAAAAATAAAACTATGTCAAAGAACAAATACATGTCTTCCAAATGGCTATGATTTTGTAAAGACTATTTCAAAGAGATGCTTATAAGGAGGGCATAGACAGTGGTAGTAGTTTAAAATCAACATGGCAATTTCCTGACTCATCTCAATCAAACAAGTCTTCCTTTTTCCTGGGGAACCTGTTACAATACCATTTAAATTACCAACACAGAACTTCAAAGGAAGGTAAGGGGAGGACTTACTTAAAGTGAAGATACTGGTTGTATATGATTCCTAATTTTTAAACAAATGTTATTACTGGTACTTAAAAAATAACATTACTGTTTTTAGAAATGATCAATAATTTCACATTCTACTTAATTCTTAGCTGTATTTCAAAATATTTTGTGTATATTGTAAACAGGAAAATCTCAACTCTAGAAAGATAATGTAACACCATTTTTGTTTTCAATGAATAAGAGGACATGTAAAAATCAGAAAAACAAGTCTTTAAAAATTCTCAAATGAAAACATTTTCACCTGCATGATTCCAACTTTGTAATTCTGCAACAGAAAGTCTCTATATGTGAATTTGTGAAGGATGCGCCACCTATGTCTACATTATCCACTCCCAAAGAATAGGAAAACCACAAAAATGCTATAAAACAAAGTTTATTCTGCAATACTTTATCATAATGAACTGCATCTCTTTGGTAAAAATAAACTTTATAAACATTTTAATAATCCGATTAGATACAAAAACTAAGTATTTGTTAAGTTGTTTTTAATATGAGCAAAGACTGGCAACTGAGAAGTTGTTCACTTATGACTTATCTACTGGCAGTCATAACTCAAACTCAGGGCAATTTTTTTATGCTACATTAGAAAAGAGGGTAATTCAAATTTCTTGAATCAGAAAACAATCTTATACTTTCATTTAAAAATAAATAATAGTTACAATGACTTGGCAATTATACATTTTTATACACTATATGGTGGCAACATAATACTTTAAAATTAAGCACTCAGTTTAATAAGAAATGTACAATTTTAAAACAAGTTTTGACAATGGCACTGGCAGTTAGATGCAAAGAATGTGCTTCAAGAAAAACAAATGGCAGGTTTAACATTAAAATACCTTTATCTGTCTTTCAATAAATATTTTGACTTCATCATTAACACATTGAAATAAACTTCCAAAGCTTACACATTTTGAACTAAAAACTAAAATATATGTTTATGCGAAAGCCTCAAAGTTTCTTAATCAAATGCTTTGTTCTTCACAAATGGCTAAGTTACCGTAATACTTAAGACAATGGTCTTTACAGCTTTGTGAAGTTTTCACATCTGTTACTTAAATTGCAGAGAAAGGCCTCCTGGTCTGTCAAGACTTACACATTCTTAACACTTCCTCTTGCCTTGAATTGGCACTAACATATATTTAACTGATAATCTAATATGAACCTTTTACAGAATGCCTCACAGTAGCAAAAGGAAAAAAAAAAAAAACAACTTTAAACTTTACTATATACAAAGGAATCAAAATTAAGTCATGCTGGCCGTAAGGACAGGGAAAAGTTCCAAGTTGGAAAAAAGGAGGTGATCTACCAATAATTATCTTTTCCATGAATACAAGTACAGTTTTCTTTCTCTGAATTTGAAAAGTAAAACATTAACTAATTGAGTAATATATTGCACAAATAAATTTCAAAAATATATATTCAAAAAACACTGATCCTAATTGGGGTACAAAAGATGAAGATTGGGGTGGATCAAAGTTTTACTAAGGATTCATTAAAAACCAGAATGGGTCAAAGTACAATTTATATTTTGATGTAAGGCAAATTGTATGTAAGCTTAAATCCCAGTTTTAAGATATATTGGAACATAATACCTATCTAGGGTTACCAAGTTGTTTTGTTACAATAAACTGTTAAATACAACTTCCAGTTCATAGAACTTAGAATGAATTTCCTTAATTGAGTGGTTATTAGCTATGTTTTTAATCTCAACACACCTGAAGAACGGGGCCATAATATCCATGAAAGTAGTAATAGAGTGCCACAATTAAGAGAATTCTTTCTTCCCCTTCAACATAACTACCTTAATATAATACCAAATAAAAGTGATGCACTAAATTTTGTATATGAATTACATATAAAATATTGTTTAACTTTTTCCTGTTAGCGCTTAATCCAAAAGTCCTTATAGTCTTGCTAGTGATGAATATAATTTAAACTTTTAAATTTATGGGAAGAATACAAGGAGAGAAAACATAGTTTAGAGTTTTGGCTATTTATATTACAACAAAATCATTTTGAGATTCCTACTAGAATTGAGAACTCTCTGCCTCCTTATTCACCTTTACTTATAAAAAGTAATTACATAATAGTCATGAAAAGAGAACATTTGTGGTATAGAATTTCAGTAGAACAATATAAACTGGAACCAGATCATTGAAACACTGTTACTAAGGTCTATGCAGAGGACCATGGCAAATAGCTTAAAAATATTATTATTGTGATCTTTTTGCTGTTTCATACTATGGTAAAAGCAATAATTTTGCTGTTAAATACTCCCTACAGTAAAAGATTCTAACTTGGAGTAGCCATTTCTGTATTACATGTAACACATGAAGAGCAAGAAAATCGAAATACTTCATCCTTCATACTTAAGAAGTTTTTCATTATTTACAAATCAGAAACTATTTCAAAAGCACCAATTTTGATTAATTGTGGCTATCCAGTTTCAATTATAATTAACATGGAACCAAGACAGATTATATTAATGTTGTCCCTAGCTTAAAGTTTGCCAGCTAAAAGACATTTTCATTATGCTTCTCATTTGACAGTTTTGCCCAAATGAATTTTAGAAGTCAAATAAAAATATTTGTCTCTTAAAAAAAAAAAAAAAGCACTGTGGTCATAGGAACAAGTTGAAGGTAACAACCAAAATCATGATCCTGTTTGTATGTGTATACATATATATGTATGTAAAAATAAAATTAACAGAAAAAATTAAAACAAGGTCATTGTCTATGAAAAAGGATGTAGTATGAGATACTATTACATTTTTGGAAAGTTGCTTTCACCATTGTAAAAAATACATATAATGAACAAATTTAGTTTTAATAGTATACCTTATTCTTTATGATATGCATTCTACAAATGATATAAGAAAATGTCTTATTCAGGCATATTTGTTATGAATACTTAAAAATACCATATTCAAATCAATTTTGGAACAGTAATAAAATCTTTTAGCATGGAATGATGGCATATAGTAGGTACTAATTATACTGCCTCCTCAGAATGATAGATTGTGTGAGGTCTAATTTTTATGAACTTTGAAATCTGTGAAGGTATATTGTCAATATAGTTTTTATAAATTTACTTTTGCATACAAATTTAACTAACATAAAACTTGGACTGATATATTTTCTTTAATGACCTACTGTCACTTATAATGATATAAGCATTCAAAATGTTTATTAGATTATACTCAATTCCTATTACAAGTAAAATGCAGTACATTTAACAAGCAAGGGAATGATTCTCTTATTGCAAAATAGTGTGTCATAATGGGTGTTAACTCCATAACATATTATGGCTATATTCTCCTTGGAAAGTTTATATTGAACAAAGACAGCTAGTATCTAAAATTTAAACAATGGTTGCAAAGCAGTTTGGGGAAAAAAACAAAAGGATCCAACAAATGCTATGCAACTGGGAGGTAAAATAGTAATAATAAAGATAACATTGTAATAGGAATTAGAGTATTCTCAGATTAAATTACATTGCAAAATTCCCTTTTCTAAATCTTAGAATTTAGCTGTATTCCCTGCCTCTGTAACCAAATGGAACTTTCTAGGCACCTATGACTTTCCAATATATATTTAACTATGTTGAGGCCTCAACAAGAATAATTAAAAACAAAATTTAAGACAAAATAAAAAATTTAAATCTTATCCTATCGGATTATGTGTCAAGAGAGGCATATATGAGAAATACATCAGGAACAAATTTAGCTAATCAGCAACTAATTACAGGTTGGAAAAGAAAATGAAAAAAATCAGAGCTTTCAATACTTACATTTTGATAGATTAATAAAAGATTTTCCCTACAAGTTTAAGACAAAAGCTGGACACTTTTTTCTATAAAAATTTCCAAACTTTGTGGACACTTATCACAAAAATTATGCTTTTAGGACTTCACATCATATTTATGGTTGGGCATGATCCTAAACAGCAATTTTAAAACAAATAAACAAAATGTTTTGAAAGAAACAAGTTATTAGCATCCCTTCCCACCCTAAAACAAAGGAAGTCCATTATGGCTTTGATATCCCTTGTAAAGAATTAAGTAGAAGAGTATTGCCACACTTTAAATTAATTTCACACTAATAAGTACTTCTATTTTTTCCGCTGCTTCTGGTTTTGTGCCTTTGCAGTACTTATTAGGGAACCCAGACATGTACGAATTCCAGCAAGGTGGAGCAGAGATCCAGCTGCCTCTTTGAGCTCCTCATCAATTTCTTGACATGACCGTTTTTGCATCTTTTTGCCTGGCTGCCCTTTTTCAGAGGCATTTGCACAAGCCTGTGATGCATAGCCACTATCTCCAAGAGGATCATCTTCATATTCAACGTCTGTATCTTCTTCACTATGAAACCCTTCACTACCATCACTTCCCACATGGCTATTCTTTGGGATAAATTCATATACTTCATCCACAGAAGACAAGGAAGATACACTAGACCTGGATGCACAACGCTGTGCTGCCATGCTACTTGCACTGTAATTATGGTCTTCTTTTGGATCAATGCTGGTGACTAATGAATCATTCTCTTGTAATCGCACGGTACTGGGATGATTGAATGCATTGCCATAACTTCTCTTTTTTTGCATTACTGTTTTAAGAGGAAGAGGCTTCTCACCTGTGAAAATGAAACTTCCATCAATAGGTCAAATGCATTCACCAAAAACAAAAAAACAGGTCATTTAAAACAACAATGTCACTTCTGAGTAATAAATGGTTTCTTTTCTTATGCAGACTATATTCTTTCGGTATTAATTTGAAACATTTTAAAACCACTTCATAATATATCTTGACCTTTCTGTAGAAAATATAAAACTTTGAACTGTCTATACCAACTGCCTCAATGTGAATGTACTACAGTTCTGCTAACCGTTTATGTTGTTCTCAATTTTTCACTAACACAAATAAAATTACAATGAAAAACCTTTATGTCTTTTTTCACACAGGCAAATATTTTCTAGGAGACATACCAAGAAAATGATAACTGGTATTTCTAAACTGCCCTCAAAAATGGTTGTATATGAATTACACTACTCAGGACACTACTTAGGTCCCATAGTTACACCTAACATTATCTATCATTTTAATTTTTCTTAATATTGCAAAAAGTAAAATAGTACCTCAATTGTATTTGTTTTGCACTTTCCTAAGTTGCTTATCATTCCAAACATGTGGTGTTCATATATATTTCCTTTTCTAAAATCTACCTACTCATATATTTTAATAGCTTTTCTATTGAGCTGTTTTATTCTTATTTATAAGGTCCTTTTATATACATACTTAGTATTAATCATTTATATGTTATATGTAGTAAAAAAGAAATGTTTTCCCAGTGCTTTGCTTGTGTTACTTTTATTGAAGATATCTTTTGTTGTCAGAACTCCAAAATTCTGAAATTTAATTAAATTTATCCACCTTTTAGGGATTTTGAATTTTGGATTTAAAAAAAAATACACTTTTCACATTGTTGTTCATGTATAAGTTTGTTTTCTCCTTTCAGGTGTAATCCCCATAAAATTATCACCACCAAGACACCCACTGGTCATCACAATAATCTCTTATGCTTTCCTCTCACTCTCTCCTGCTGAATTTTTCAGATGTATAGTTTGCTTGCTAGGTTTCCATGTTTTTTCCTCTGATCTCTTGTTTTATATTACTACTATACTTATGTTACTACTATAAGTGTATACTTATATTGCTACTATAAGTGAAACTATCTATACTTTTCTTTCTCCATCTTATTTTACTGAGAATAAACCCTTCCAGCTCCACCCATGTTGCTGCAAATTGCATGAGTTTAATCCTTTTTGAGTGTTCAATAAATAGTATTCCTGGGTGTACAATCAAATCTTAATTCAATATATACAATCAAATCTTAATCCAACCCTCTGATTTTGGGTATTTAGGCTGTTTCTTAGCTATTGTAAATTGTGCTGTTGGACCATTTTGCTTTCCCACCAGCATACACTTTGGATCCTAAAGACTTTTTTATTCCAAAGTTATAAATATATCTTCCTATATTTTCTTATTTAGCTTTCATTTGTACTTTTAAATCTTCAAGCTAATAGTACATATGCTACTTATTTCTTCGTTTCTCGGTCAATGTAAAAAGACCTATCACAAAGCTAAGTCAGTTACATAAATTAATGGAACCATAATAGAACAAATAAGTAACTTTGTTTATAATAGTTTTACATTCTAAATTACATTTAAAAGGGCACACATAAGAATGCTTTAAAAGGAAGCATTACTGGATTGCTTACATTCTAAAATTCCTTGTTCTATAGAAGTATTTAAAAGCATCATTGCAGTGGCAGCATCAATATCAGATTCTGAAAAAGGAAAGGAATGATAATATTAATTTAGTTCTTTACAGAAGAGAGACTATTTTAAGTATCTGAATGTACCAAAAAATAACCAATATTAAGATTTTGGTATATGATCTCCTACTAAAAATGTTATATTACATTTACTCAAAATGAGACATTCTAGTTTACAATTGATTTTTACTAAAATTGTGGACACCGTTGTGAAAAGTATTATAAAAAGTAAAACTGAAAGGTACCAAGATAAAGTGTCTTGTTTAATACTGAGAGTGTAAAAACCTGAACTTATACAGGCCAAACTTTTAAGTTATGTTTAAAATATTTTACTTTGTGATCTGCAATTATAAAGTACTATGTTAGTTATATGTTTGGAGCTAACACATTCATACACATATGTGATTGATCAGTTTAGATCATGAGTTTATAAAAGTTAAATAATTATTGTCAGGACAAAAGTATTAATGCCTTTATTCATAAGTACATATAAGCCTACAAATACTATAGTTTATATAATACTCAGGAGGTCACATATAATTATGGATAGTTCATTAAAAAAAAAAAACAAAAACAGAACTAAAAGGTTGTGAAATCATAAGGTTCTACTCCAGATAATTATGCTTTTACTAGTATATTTATACTAAAAGTTCCTCTCCTTCATGGTCATCTACTGGTCTTAATGACTTAATCAAATAAAAGTGTAATGAGGGCCCTCCCTGGTGGCACACAGCACGTTAAAGCAAAGCACTAAGAATCTAAAGCCATTTCAGCATGAGTTCAATCCCTGCCCCAGAGGTGACCCTGGTGGGGTGGCAGACCTCTCCTGACCGGCCTGCTGCTCCCATCAGCAGTGTACTTTGTTGATCTGCCTGTTCTACTCCACACTCTGTCTCGGGTGAAGCCCCTGCACCTCTGACCTGTACCCAGATCTGTATGCATAAATAAATAAATCTATAAAAAAAAAAAAGTGTAATGATATGAAATGTTAGAAAACATTTATAAATTTTAGGTTTTAAAGGATTAAGTTTAAAATTACACTCAGATATGAAATCTCCCATTTCTACTTCAAACTAGCAAAGTTTATTTCCTTAAAGTTTTCCATTTTACTTGTGGTCTATCTAATTATAGTTATTTTAAATAACAAAGCCATTAAGAGATTTACTTGTATTCTCCCCACTTGACCATAAACTGTTTACAGGAAATATTATTGTTACTGAGTTTAACAAATAGGCTTGCAAACAAGACAGAAGACAGTTGTGATGAGGAAGCACATAATCTTATTATAGCTCTTTTCTTTTAAATAAAATGTGACCTTATTAAAACAGAATCTCTACATGGACGTCCTCCCAATTAGACTGTCAGCTTCTTTAAGGTTTAAGAACCATGTCCTATCCTCTATATTCCACAATGTTTGGAACAATAGTAGGTCCTTGATAAAAATTTAAAGAATAAGTTTACTACATCTTTGCTCCCCTTTCCTTAGATTTTGATGATTATGACAAAACTAACATTGAGAATTTTCAATGGGTTACATAAGGAGTAAGTTATTACTAACTCATAATCCTCATAACTTTACAAAGTGGATACTGTTAAGTATTTTGCATCTTTAAAAAAAAAAAACAAACAGAAAAAGAGGAGTCTATAGGAATGAAAGAAGATAACATTTGAATCCTGGCTGACTACATTTAGAACGCAGGTCTTCAATTAGTACTCTACCATCATCCCTAACACTTACTAAGCAACCATGATTAGAGTAGAAATTTTACAGATAATACTATAAATTCCCAGTCTGTTATTCATTTCATAAATTAAGGGTTTTATTTACTGACATCATTCTAGGTCATGGGAATATAACAAAAATATAAGAGTAAAATACCTAACCTCTCAAAATACAATGAAATAGTTAAAACATATTATGTTGGGGAGTGAGTGATAAACATTAGAAAAATTAAAAGAAGATAAAGAGATTCAATTTTAAATAGAGGGGTCAGGGAAGATTCAAGGAGAAAGATAATGGCTGAGCAAAGACCTCAGAGAGCTAAGTGAATAAAAGCCATAGAAATATCCAAAGGAACAGCATTTAGAGCAGAAAGAACAGCAAGTGAAAAGAATGTGAATTAATGATTCCCAGTTAACAGCCAAGAGGCTAGCAAAACAAAATTTTTTTCCAATTTTAAAATGAAAACTGACTTCAGTTTGATAAGATTTTAGTTTTCAAACATGTCTTTGAAGAAAAAAAGGTGCTGCCTCTAGACCATATTGCATCTCTGTGTGAACTGGACAAAAGGCAACTCTGCCTTGAGGTGAATGCCTCCCTCTATCAGGCACACAGCTTGAAGACTGAAGTGGTGTGGATTGTATTTCAAGAATCCACTGGTTGTCCCAGCCGGATGTCCTGCACAGGGCACAGGGAGCAAAAGCTGTATCAGAGAGATCCCTGCTTCATAAGACAATTTTTCTTATATTGAAAAAAGGTCCACCTTATTTCCTATTTTATTCATAAAAAAGAAAAAGACAAAAACTGGGGGTAAGAGAGAAAACCTAAAATTAAAACAAATTACAATAAAGATATGAATTCAGGAAATTTACAATCTTTTAAATGAGGTATAGAAAATCCTCTTTTTAATGAGTATTACCCCTAACTTTACTTCTTATAATAATAAACTTCCAAGGAGCTATATTTCTGAAATACAGTACCCTGAAGTTAAAGGAAACCCCTAAGAAGCTTATCCTAACAAGGTAAGAAAACTGCATTTCTCCTCTTATTCTGAACATTTAAAATGATAACAAAATTAGGTGCTGTTTCTATTAACAGTATTCCTCACACATTTGTTTTCTGTAAAGTATTATAGTCAAATTAATTTGAAACCACCCCATAAATTATATGAAACAAAATTTTATTTTATTCATTTAGTTTAGAATTATTGGAAATATAGTTTCCACAATTCCCTGCCAATTAATGCTAAGAAAAGTTTACCACTGAAATATGTTGAAAAATGACCCAAAACACTTGTTTATCAAGAACAGTTGATTATCAATGATTTTCCCAAAGTAGAATCTTGAAACTCATGGAACAAAAATTCTCTGGGTAGACTTTGTAATTTTAATTTGTAGGGTCTAATCTGCTTGGGTATTAAAATTAGAATGAAACCTTATTTGTTTATCACAACTCAAAACATCTCATGTTATTTTCTCAATGATAAATATTTAATCCAATTAAAAGTACTCTGAGTTTTCAAAAAAATATATACTATTAGTTAAATTATGTAATATACCTAATTCATAGATTATTTTATTCCTTTACAAGGTGTTTTGCACATATTTCTAATAGTATTTAAACACTTGTTTCAGCTTAAAGTAATTTGTCATTAACGCCATCTAAATAGTGCTTAAAACAAAAATTTATTTAAAAGTCAAATCATTTCCCTTTTTATCAGGCATAGTTTTGATTGAGTTCAAATAGGCTACTGATTCAAGCAACTTGTTCCAAAAAAATTTCTGTCACAAGTGTTAATTTTTTCTTCCTTACATTTCCGTAGCCTTGATGCCAGGAATTAACGACAATAATGTTTGTTTTCTGATACTCAGTTCATTTGCTTAAGGAATATGAAAACTGTATAAGCCGAATTCAAATGGTTATTGGTTTTCTCCTCTACCTGAAAGCAGAGCATCCCTCCTTGGTAGGATTTCATAGATTATTTTTGGAGTCTGGGAATGCTCAAATACCATGTAATTGTTGCATAATAATGCAATGAAATCATGAAAATTAATGGTAATAGTGTTCCTGTCCTTAAAATAACCCATCAAATAATATGAAGAGGAAAATTCTACATTCAGATAGAGGGTGAAACTTGTATTGTCCAGTAATTTATTAACTATATGAGGATTTGCTGCCTCTATCAAAACTAACATTTACATGGCAGGCTCATAACAAATGAGAAACTGTGGTTCTTTAAAGAATAATTTCTTTAGAGAATAATTTCAATAGTTTAACAATTGTAACCTGCCTGGACTACCAGTTTATTTCCTTTAAACTAAGATACAAATAATGTTAATTTGAACTTAAATTAGCAATCAGCATTTAACATTATCAACTATCTAAATTTTATACCTGCTTGTAGTGTAACTAAAGTATTAATACTAAAATTTACTAAATGGACTGAGTTTCACTTTTGTTTGCTTTGTTCATAGATATATCCTTGGCACTTAGCATAACAATGTGCTCAATTAGTATTTTTAAATGAATAAATTTACTTCAGATAAACACCAAACCAAATGTTGACAATTTTTTTTTTGGTTTGTTTTGTTATCAGAATGAGATTTCTCTGTCTCTTCCAACATTATATAATACTGTAATATACTGGGTTGTCAGACAAGTTATGACACATTTCTTCCATGTTTTTCAAAGAAAAAATATGCCACAACTTTTCTGACAACACAATAGATACTGGCATATAAAAGTCACTGTAAGGTGAACAACAGAGACAACTCTACTATAGGCAAACTGCTATATCTGTTTTGGCTAATAATGGTTTTTGGAGTTCCTAAGTCTAACTTCTATTACTTTTATTTGTCTAACAGTAGCTCTAAAAATAATAATAAAGATAATTCTATGAAATGATAAACTAATTTAATATTGGATTGTAATTATTCACCAAAGTGATCTTTTAAAACACAGAAACTGCTGTTGCCTTATTCTTTAAAGCCCCTCAGCACTTTCCCAATACCTGATACCTGGTAGGCTCTGAAACAGTTCTAGACCATTTACTAGTAAAGAGAAAGTTAACTTCCCCAAACTTTGGTTCTTTATTTGTAAGAGAATGATACTTCCTTAAAGAGCTATAAGGATTAAAGAAGATACTGTAACAAAGCACCATAGTAAGAATTCAATGCTAACTAATGTTAATAGTTAAGGAAGTTCAAACTTATTATGCTAGATAAGCTCTCCTTGATTAGGCAAATTTCTGCTTAAGACTTCTCTATTGCCTAATCCTTTTTAAATGATCACATTTACAGCACCTTACCAAGGCCACCAGGCATTCTTCCATACTCTTAAGCTTCAGTCATACTTATCAACCTACAGTTGACAGCAATTATCTTCTACCAAACCATTACCTTTGGTGGTTAAGTGTCCCCCCAACTTTTAAGGCCAAATTTAAGCATAATTTGGCTTCTCTAAGAGAACTTTCCTCACCTACATACCTCTAAACTTAATTTGCCTCTCATTTCCTTTTTCTTCAGCGTACTCTGCATAATTCTGGTCAACCGTCTACTGTACATACCTTCTACTGTTGTTCTGAAAGCAGGACTGGGGCCTCTTTCATCTCTGCATATCCCAAAGCATTTACTACAACTCCTAGCACTCTCTAGGAACTCAACGAAGATATAGCTAACTATTTTATTTAGTGTTTTTTCAAACTTTTCCCTAGAAACGATATTGAGAAAAGAAACAAATTTCCTCAGAAGTCTATGAATACCTCTAAACAACCTACTCAAACAAATTTTCTTAAGTTTATGCATTTTTCTTAAAACTCATGAGAATTTTGTATTCTATTCCAGGACAGAGCTGCATGCTTCATATATATATATATATATATAGTTTATTTTTACATCATTTTGTGCCTTTTTCCATCTCACTTGTAATCCCCGTGGGCTTCCTATCACCATATCACCCGTGTGCCATCGCCACAGTCCAGTGTACTACTTTGCTCCCCTCCCCCCCCATTTTTGACCCCATTCTCTACTGCACCCCCAAAAAATGTCTCTGGTATATAGTTGTTCATTAATGCTATTATTTTCCCCCTGGTCCTTTATGTTCCTGCTATGAGTGAAACCATCCAGTATTTTTCTTTTTCTTTCTGGCTTAATCCTAAACATAATCCTTTCATGGAGTTGTGTGTTTTTTAATTCAGAATACCAACCAATCATCCCAGTCCAATTAGTTATTACAAGGGGAACAGACCTAAGACTCATGAGTATAAGTGATGTAGGGAAATAAGTTGACAGCAACATTGGAGATATGATGCATAATATACATGCTGCTAAATAAAAGAGAGATAGCTATATTTGTTATAAAAACTGTGGGTAAAACCAACAGGAAGAACTTGTAGAAGTTTTTGTTCCCCAAAGGAATAAGCTGAATTTGAATGAATGGAAAAAGAGTAAGGAGAGATTCTAAATACAGCTTCAAATTCATAGTGAAAATATTCTCAAAATGTGGATTTGAACTGAACATGAAAGACTAAGGATCAGAATCTACTGAGAAAATAAAAAGATAAAGGAAGTTATAGCAATACTTAAAAGTAAAGAAACAGCACATTTACTCACGCAGATAACAGGAAAATAGGTATTTGCCTTGTGCAGTTAGAATGTTATCTGAAGTTGACTCAATCTGCTCAACATCTTTGCAGAGTTCTCTTAAGCCTTTTCACACTATTTCCCTCCCTTATTTTAACAGACCATCATCACCCTGCTTTCTAGGCTCATCTCAGTGTTGTTTGAAAGAGTAAAAATATCTCTTTTTGGCTTTTAGTCTGAGAATTTCTATTTTTAAAGATTGCAGAAATGTCTCTAGGCTCTAAAGCAACAATGCCAGACAACCTTATGTTAACTGACTACTAATCTAGAATATTAACAATATTAACCTTATGTTAACTGACTACTAATCTACAATATTAACAATGAGGGAAAAAAGTACTAATTCAGAAATTTTATATACTTTTAAATATAAACCTATCACCTTCTCAAAGTTTTTTACACTTAAATAAAATCTATAATATACTCTGAACCACACTCTAATCCAGGAATCGGTTCTATAAAGGGTAAGATAACTATTTTAGTTTTCTTGGTCAAAGTTACACTACAGAGGTCTCTGTTACAGCAGCTTAACTCTCCTGTTACATGCCTCAAAGTATTTTTGTGTTTTCAACTATTTACAAATATAAAGCTTGCTAACTCATACAAAAACAAGTGGCCTATGATACAGATATATTGAAACAATATGATATATATATCGATAATATAAGACAGACTTGGAAACTCATGATCTTACTAAGAAGTATTTCTCTATTCTCAAGGAAAAAATACACATGTGAAGAAAATAAAAGAGCATATACAATAAGCCCAGTTTTAGGGAAAATGTGTGTGTGCGCACGTGCGTGCATGCATATGCAGAAACCTATCTATTCATCTACTTGTGTATAAAGTATAAAAAGGACCAAACCAATTATATCAAAATGACAATGGTAGAATAAAGGCCAAGTTTTAGTCTTTTATAAATGCTTTTATTTTCCAAATATACAATAAATATATAATACTTCTATAATTAGAAAAAAATACAAAATTCTGACTTTAGACCTGAGTTTTATGACTTAAAATATGGATCTTAATACATACCTTTGAGGTTTCGCACCTGGTTCTGCTTAAGTACAGAGCTTAAGTAATGTGGAGATAAAGAGCCACTGAAAAAAGAAAGGGGTAAGACAAATATGTTTGCCTTCTCACAGAACTTAGTCACAAGACCAACTGATTTGTACAATAAAAACAAACTATTTTCACCTTGTTTTCTTTGCTAATATTATTATACATAGGGAGAATGTGCCAAAGCAGAAAAGAGCTTAGGATCTAAGATTAAATCATTACTATTTGGATATTTTTAGGCAAAATAATTAAACTTTTAATTATTTAAAACGGGAATAATTTGACATAGGGTTGCTGTAATGAAATAACAGTGCATTTAAAATGCATGGAGCACTAGCTAATACACCTACTATTTGATTTTGTACTGGATGCTTAAATTTGATGGGATATTAATATAGGTGTTACCACCTATATGAAAGCCTCTATCAAGACAACTGTTTGAGGATGATGGTATGGTAGTGATGAAAAACACGTAAATTCTTAATATTATCAATAAGCATTGATATCAAATTGAACTTCACATGTTCATGAAAAGAGATCAGCAGGAACTTTTTTAACTTCAAATATTAAAAAAAATGGAACCAACCATTTCAGTTCTTTGGTATTTGTATTAGATTAAAAAAATCTTGCTTTGCTAACTAAATTAAAAATCTATTTCCTAATCACAGCTTTACAGTCTTTATCTTTCTTTTTTTCAGATTTGCCAATTATGATATGAAAGGGCTACATAAAGGGATGTCAGATGGAACTGTTTATTTGCCAAATAATGAAAAAGGAAAAAATGTTTTAAAAAACATTAAGGTGGTGTTTTAAAGTCTAAGATTAAAATCTCTGTGTAGTCATTTTATCTGTTTTCAAGCCATAAAACCCTCTTTATTTAAAATCTAAACATATGATAAAGAAAACAAATATAAACACGAAACCCTGACATGTCAAAGGCACAGCTGTGCATTTCTAATGGTGTACTTAAAAAGTGTCAATTCTCTTTTAATCTTCAACTGAGAATTACATACTCAAATGCTTATGTGGCCAACAGCAGAACTTAACAGTTCCTGTTGTTATTATTTTTTACTGGAATACCTCCTAATTTTCCTCTGTATTTCAGCTTACAACCACTCCTCTAAAAGTTACCTTGTAATACTTTAAAGAAATTAACCACTATATGAAGTGTTGGTTATTGTCACAGCTGGGAGTTCATGACACTCTTCTTCTACTTTTAAATATTCTTGAAAATTTCCAATTATGTTATTTAAAAAGCTTCTGAAATTTTTCAAAAAGCAAATTACTCACAGATTAACCCTAAAAGTACCTTTAGAAAATATGGCATTTTCAGCTTGAATATATATATATAGTCAATTTTTTAAAAATTTTGATAACTTTTTTAGGAAAAGGAAGTAAAATCAAATTAAAGAGGTCATATCATTTATATTAACAGATTTGACTGAAAATGAGAAAGCTATACAGATCAATAGGAATCAGAGCTTGAAAGTAAAACCTGAGAAAATACATTATAATCATACCATCAAAACAAAGTAAATTTTAAAAAGCTATAGTGTTACTTTACTCATCAAACATTTTATTTGGTTTGACTACATTTTTCAGAATTTATGTTCTATCAAATTCTTGTTTCCTAATAAAAAGTAAGACTATAAATAAAAAGGCCTTAGGCTAATGTCTAACCCATTAATACGCCTATGCAATAAAGAAACAAATTAATTCTAATAGCTTTGTTAAAAAGTTTCTCCATCTCAACAATGAAATCTTATAAATCACTACTGATACTTATATAGATGATCCTATACCTTTGTGGAGATGCAGTAGGGGTGTAAAATGTTAAAGCTGAGGAAAAAGGTTGCTTCTTCAGTGCCTGCATAAGATTGGGTTTATACTCTGGATCAACACACCATAAGGAACCTTTTCCATTAACCTAGAATAAAATATGCAAGAATTAATAATCTAGAACTTTAAGAAATATGGTACCTAAATGTTCCAATAAATGAGGGGGAAAAAAACCCTATGGTATATTTTGAATACAATGCAAAGGATGAAGTAAACTTGCTACCCATGCATTATATGATGAAAAATCTTGAAGACTGCCTGGGTTCAAATCTCCAGCTCTTCCAAAGTTAACTAACTTCTATCTACCTGGGCCATTATTCCTCATTGTGAGGTAGAGACAGTAATAGTACCTACTTCATAGATTTTAAATGGATTAAGTGCAATGCACTCTGTACAGTATCTGACACATTCAAACCACGAAACTATACAATTCCAGGATATCATAACCTGTAAGAATGGTATTATTCTAAGTTGTGCAGTCAATAGCATGAAGAACAGCACAAGGTAACCTCAACATGCTAAAAAGTCAAAAACATTAGTCATTACTATTATTACTACAGAAAACCCAGTAATAAAAGGGAAAATTAAAAATTCTATGCAGCATCATTTCCCTAGAAGTGATAAACAATGATATATAAAAAAAATTTTTATGTATTAATGGTATTTTACGTTCCCATTTAGAATTGACTTAAATTTAAAAAGCATACTATTTAAAGACCTTCATAGCAAAAGCCTCAAAGTAGTAAGACAATAACTGAGGTATGAAAATGATGACTGCAAAAGATCAAAAAGGGAAAGTAACATTAATCTTCCTCAAGATTGCAAAGTTAACAATAAAGAGGAACTTCTAGCTAATATGGCAATAAACACACAAGCCAAGATTCCACTGAAATAATCAACAGAATCTAAAAATGAAAGTATCTGTATCAGGCTCTCCCGGTGGCGCAACGGGTTAAAGCGTAGCACTAAGAAGCTAGCCTCAACCACTTCAGTGTGAGTTCGAGCCCTGGTCAAGGAGGTGACCCACATGGCATGGCAGACCTCTCCAGTCTCACCTGCTGCTCCCCTCAGCAGTATACTTGGTCAATCTGCCTGTTGTGCTCCCCACTCTGTCTCTGGTGCATCCTCTCACTCCTGCCCCTTAACCCCCCATACTTCTGGCCTGTACTCCAGGTCTATATGCATAAATAAATAACTCTTAAAAAAAAAAAAGGATTTGTATCATTACTGGAATCTAGAGAAACCACAAACAATACTACCTGTTAAAATGCAAATGCAATAGGTCTGCACGAAGGAATTCTTGGATTCACATTTTCCCTCATATGTAGTAGTAGCTTAAAGACAACTAAAATAACCTTACTAATATTATGTAACACACAGAGGAAAGATCTTCAAATAGATTTTTAAAATGCTATGTATTTTATTTCCCTTCTGCTGCATTACTAGCAGATTAAGAGATCTAAACAATTTTACAACTAAACCTGTTTTATGTGGTTTCCCAAAGTTACTGGACACAGCTCTTCTTTCCCTGAAGTAACATTTGGAGGAGTTAGTGTTCTGTGGAACATCTAGGAATTCTATAATGAATTCTTGTAGAATATACTTTCCAAATGGTAATTGGAAAAAATGGCAAACACGGATTAGGCAAAGAAAAAAAAAATAAAACCCCTCTAAAAACTGTCAATTTTAGGGAGCCCCCTGCAGTGGTCTAGGAGTTAATTAAGTCTCAGCACTATCACTGCTACATAGGATCCCCAGTTTGGGGTTAAGCAACTTATTGTGCAGGAGACCTCTTGTCTCACCTGCTGCTCCTCTTAGTAGTGTATTTCAGTAAATCCACTTGTTCTGCTCCCCATTCTGTCTCAGGCGAATTTTTTCATCCCCCATACCTCTGGACTACACCCTAGTTTTTCTATGCCAAAAAAGGTCAATTATAGGCTGTAATGCAAAAACAAAAATATTAGTAATCTCAACAATAACCAAATTCTCTGAGCACTTAAAAATTTATAAACAGGCCCTCACTGGTGGTACAAGGGGTTAAAGCATAGCATTATGAAGCTATCTGCAGCCACTGCAGCACGAGTTCAATCCCTGACCACGGAAGTGACCCCACATGGCTCAGCAGATCTCTCCTGTCTTGCCTACTGTTCCTGTTAGCAGTATATTTCAGTAGATTTGCCTGTTCTGCTCCCCAGTCTGTCTCTGGTGAGTCCTCTGGCCTGTATTCCAGTTCTTGTATGCAGAAATAAATGTTTAAAAACATTTATAAACACTTTTACTAAAAAGCTATCCAAATCACAATTAGAAGGTATCTAGAAATGAAGGGTATATAAAAACTGAACATGTGGGCCCTTAGTTGTGCTATGCGTTAAGGCGCAGCACTGCAAGCTAGCACCAGCTGCTTCAGTGTGATTTTGATCCTCAGCCTCGGAGGTGATCCACATGGCTCCTGACCTGCCCCCTGCTCTTCTCAGCAGTGTTACTTCATTGATCAGCCTGTTCTGTTACCTGCTCTGTCTCTGGTGAATCCTCTTACCACCCCTGCACCTCTGGCCTGTATCCCAGTTCTGTATGCATAAATAAATAAATCTTAAAAAAAATAAAAAAAAAGGGAAAAAAAGCTAAACATGTAAGCCAAAGCTCTACATTAAGGCAAATTTATATACTTGCCCCATTCTTCAACCAGACTTAAAACATCTAAAATAAGCTCTAGTGTGAGGAAAAGTATGGCAATAGTGTACAAAGCCGTTTTTAACATCTTGGCAACTTAAGTGTATAGGAGAGAAAAACTACGAGTGTTGTATCACTCTGTAATACAGAAAGAAACCATACGATTAAGGGAAACTTTTTTTTCTGGTTTTCAGCAGCAGATTATATGAACCACAATAACAAGTATTTGAAATTTTGACTCCTCCCCTCAACTCCCCACTCAAGCCCAAGGAAGTTTAAGTTTTATTAATGTATTTTTGAATTAAGTGACAAAGCTTCTTAAATTAGATGTTCACTTGGCCCAATCAATACATGTAGTTGATGACAGAGAAAACTGTAAAATGTTAGCAACACAAAATCTGTCCCCAAATCTATTCAGTTTCATACAAAAAGTTTCATGAAAATACTTTTCATATATTGACTAAGACAATTTTAATAATTCTAGTCATAATTCTATCTTGTTACTACTGAGATTACACCTCTTACGTTCAAGTCTACCTTCTGAATTCTATTGTGGAAGAATTGCAAACTGTTGATCACAGAATTGCTATTTCCTTGAAATGGCAAATTGGAACACATAGTTTCAGGGCATATCTTGAATAAGGTCTCCAAATAACAGTCTGGTTTGTGTTGCTATGTCAATACTTCCTTTTAACTGGTTCTGTTCACAAATGAACAGTAAAATTAGATGAAACTGTATTTGATAATCTAAGTTTTAGCGTCTACAGCAAAAAAGAATCTCTCATTTAAACTTTACCTTTTATTATTGTGCATAGATTACAGAACCCAATAGCTTTAGAATTTAAGTATTATTTTATACTCAATTTGCCTACAACAAGGTAAATGTCTGTGCAACAGAAACAGGAAATATGCACTCTCATGTGTTATTTTGTATTTTGGAACTTTTAGGTTTCTAGATTTACTTGGTAGAGAATCACTGGAGGTTATGCAGAAGTAAAGAACATCTTAAGAGCTAAATTTTAAGAGTTACTTTAATGCAAGTTGAGAAGACCAGTGAGTGAGGAGACAATAATCACTATTCCTGAAAGGTTTTTTAGTACTTTCCCTATACATTTTTATAGTTTCTCCCCTTTGACTTACAGTGGCTTTTAACACCACTGAGTTAAAAGAACAAAGTAATGAAAACGTGCATTCAAAACTCTTGCTTACAGCATAAACTTTTTTTTATATTAGTTTACTTTTACATATTTTTGTGCATTTTTCCATCTCAGTTGACAGCATAAACTTTTATTAATCATAGGCATGACTTCTTTTTCTGGAATTTGGCTATTGAAGGAGGTCACTTACGCAAGCAAAAGCACAGATCAAAATTGTATTAATTAAGCATTCTCAATTTAGACATCCGAACTAAAATTTCACAGTATATTTTAGTTGGACATTATAAGAAATTAGAGAAGTAGTTACTAGGTTGCAGGTTAATGTTTAAAATAAAAATTAGACCAAAGCAAATTAAAAATAAACATCTAACTCTTGTAAAACTTAAAATATTGAGGCAGACAAATACTAAGATAAATTCTGTTTTTAGAGTACTAATTGTTGTACACAGAGAAAAATCTATTGAGGCAGACAAATACTAAGATAAATTCTGTTTTTAGAGTACTAATTGTACACAGAGAAAAATCTAATCATCAGTTATACCAATATGCTGGGCATCAATACCACTTTATAGCTTGACCGAGACTTTGCCATCATGTTTTCTTTTTTGAGATTATCATCTCTAGATAAGTTATTCATCAGAAAAGTGCTATCAAAGCCACCAAATTCCATGTCAACATTTAATGGAAGACTATCTTACTTGCTCCCACAGATTGGAAGAGAAATGCTATCATTTTGAGGCACTGACTCAAGAATTTCATCAATTAAAGAAAAAAATTTGCAAGGTTCTGAATCCTACTACTTTGTCAAAATTTCAGATAATTAAGCATAGTTGTCCAGACACTAATTTCTGTTATGAGCATCACTAGTTCCTTCCTATCTTGTCATGGTGAGTTTGCTAACTTTTGTTTCCAATAATACAATTTCTGCACGTATCCACATATTCTTTGTTACCTTTCTTTATCTTTCTCAAAATCCTCTTGTACTCAGACTTTATTCTTTCTCCTTCAGTAATTCTCACTTCCTTCATCCCTTTCTTTCTCTAAGCATCCTGATTACTTACATAAATAATGCGCATGTTTAAGAATTATTAACCAATTACTTCTGATCACTATCATAAATCATAATACACAGGGCACATTATTTGGCAACTGTGATTTTTCATCTCTTTGCATGTAATAATGAAAGTTACTCTAGAGGAGGAATCAAAATATGATCCACTAGATCAAAGGATATGCACATTTCTAATTTTAATAATTTCTGCTAAGTTGCCCTCAAGAACAGTAATACTAATTTAACTTTCTTATCAATGAACTACTGATACTGATTTATTTCCCTATAGTCTCATCTAATTTGGTATTATTATCAAGCACTTAAAATCTTTTTGCATTTTGATGAGTGAAAACCAGTTTTTTGTTTTTAATTTATAGCTCCCTCATTATTAGTGAGCATCTTTTCATTTTTTTTGGGTAGGGGCTATATATATATATATATATATATATATATTCTCCTCTGTGAACTCCCTGTTCATGTTCTTGTTCATTTTTCTGCTAGGTTTTCTTTCACTATTGAATTGTGTAAGTTTCTTGCACAGTGGTGTGCCACTGATTATAAACATCTATTTTCAATTCCACATTTAATGATATACTATTTCCATAATGAAACTGGCCATGACGTAAATATTTGTATCACAGATAACAAAAGCGTTACACCCACGAACACCTAATTGTTAGACATAGGCCAGCATACTACTGCTCACGTATTTCAAATCCTAACCCTTTTGTTGCTACTTGTCTCATAACATTTTAGTCAAATTTCCAAGTTTTCTGCCACACTTGGCACTATTATCTTCCTTGGCTTCCATCACACCATACTTCTCTCAGTTATTCTACTCAAAATCAAATTAAAGTTTTAATGCCACTATATCACTCCTATTACTGTATCGTATTTCTAGACACCTAATAGAAAGTTACTCTTTTATATCCCAACATAAGTGTAAATATAACAGGTCTAAAGTTAGAAAAATGTCAGCTGTAATTAAAAAATAAAATTCAATGATATATGCTAGATAAAAATTCTAAAATTTCCAGTAGTATCAGCCATCTGTAAGGAAAATACTCTGGGCTTAGGGAATCTATTTCCAAGATGGCTGACTCACCTAGTTTTGGGGCAAAAGATCTTATTTTCCTGTTGATGAGCCTTTCTATAGAGCTGTAAACATGTCCTTATAGTGTAGCAGCTGACTTCTCATAGCTATCCAAGGGTCTAAGATGGATACTATAATGTTTTATGACCTAGCCTCAAATCATTTCCAAAATATCCTATTAGTTATAACAGCTGACTCTAACTCAGTTATTAGAGGGAATTCTACACTGCACCTACAAGACACAGGCTGTCAGTAAGTAAGAATAATAAATTGGATACTGTGATAGGAACACTACAAAAACTTAAGACGAGAACAGTAAAAAAAACTAATGTTATATAACTATAGTACACTGAACATAATTCTGCTAGACTTTTAGAGCTACTTAAGTAATTTTAAAACAGGGGTCTCCCTGATGGTGCAATCCATTGCCAGCCACTGCAGACTGCAACCTGATTCTATCCCCAGCCAGGGAGCTAACAACAAACACATGGCATAGTTCTCTCCTGTCTCACCCGCTGCTCCCCCTCAGCAGTGTATTTTAATAAATTGCCCTGTTCTACTCTCCACTCTGTCTTTGGTGAATCATCTCACCTCCTGCATTTCTGGCTTACACCCCAGTTCCTATATGCATAAATAAATCTTAAAACAAAAAAAAAAAGGAGAATTTTAAACATCACAAATGAAAGCCAAGTGATCTAATTAAGCATAGGCTAAAGTAAACGAGCTTCACTACTTTTTGTCTTCCTTTTACTTCTGTATACTTTTCAGACCCTGTTATTTTCCCCAAATATTGCAAGGTATATAAATACTGACCTTGCCATGGCTTCTTTCCACTTTCTGAAAACATTTATTTAGGGACAGATTATGTCGAACAGAATTCTTCCAGCCCGTTGGTGCAGTAGCAAAATATGGAAACCGATCCAAAATCCAGCTATAAATTTCTTTGACAGGCAAACATTTATTAGGAGAATGTTCAATAGCCATATAAATGAGAAGACTAAAAGAGTATGGAGGCTTTGAAGTTGCTGACTTTTTTTCTGCATTCTGGTAGCAAGATGGTCCAAATGATGGCACTTCGTCTCCCTCTATGTCATACAATGGACTAACAATTGGAAGGCCTTCACTTCCAAAGCTGAAGTTTGTTAGAAGATTTGTACTTTCATGAAGCCAATTCAAGTTTGTAAGTTCATCATCTGCTGAATCACTATTCACTAGAGTGGCCTTTAGTCTGGCAGCATCAACAGCTTCAGGTAAACTCCCCATTTTGTAAATCTGGCTTAATCCTGCAACTTTTTCAGTTCCTGGAGTTTCAGCTCTCTTTTCTGGAGTCATTCCAATTACTGGACCCATTTACCTTTACAATCCTGCAACAAAGGAAATAAATATCAACCAATGAATTACTTAAGATTCTTAAGCTCATGAAAAAGAAGAGCTTAAAAATCCTCAAATTAAAGAAATTTTGCAATTACCTCAATATTTAAGCAAAACATTGTAACAAAAATTCTAAAGGTTACATTATAAGAAACAAAAGTTATTTCATAATATTTTAAAACAATACAAATAAAATACAGCATTATAACACCAAATATAAGTGACACTAACAAAATTAAATATATTTTGAATACTTAAAGTTCTTAGACACAGAAACTGCCTACTGATAGCTATTGTTATTAAAATGAACAGACTACTTCTCTGAGTTATAAAACTAGAATCCACCCATTTTAAAGATCTGTAACTTTAATAGTCACACATATAGCTCAATATTGAAATATCCAAATTTAAAATATTGTTTAAATAATAATTCTAAATAAGCTTCCTCAAATCTAAAATACAAGGAAGTGATAAACCATAAATATTCTTACAGTATGTAATATTAAAAAGATAAATTTCTTATTCACTAAATTAATTACCAGCAAAATTGCATTTACACTAAATTTATTACTTGTTATGTAAATTTCAATATTTTTTTAACTCTACATTTTATATCATCCCACCAAGTACTGACATTCAAAGGCAGACAGTAAACTTAGAAACTATCACAGTATTTTCAAAAAGGGTGAGGGGGGGAAGCTTTAACTATCCTTTTTTATTTTCTCAAATGACTTTTTGAGAATGGTTAATTTCTAATGGTCTACTATTGTCTTTTCATCTAATATCTCCATTTACCTTTAACTACACATATAAATTAAAGAGTACCAAATAGCAGTGGTTAACATTTACTAAGATTTTTTAATTATAGACATTATAGGGCTTTAAATATATCATTTCTACTTACTCTGCTGTTACTACATAGTCCAAGTGTGGTCCTTTCTTCCCAACTATAAATTCCGTAAGGGGAAAGATCTTCTACTTTTGTGATTTTAATGAATCTGAACAAAATGTGGTGCATAAGTAGTCATTCAAAATTATTTCAAACTGAAATGAACTTGTAATCAACATATATGTTTACTCTGTACCAACTGCAATGCTACCTACCTTTAAGAAACTTTATTTTGGAAACGAACCCTTAATTCTAGTAAACATCTTTACTGACAACTATCAGAAAACTGAAATTAACTGTTATAAATAAGGAAATGGAAGTAAGCTATTTGCTTTAGGTTCTAAAGCTAATAAAAAAATTCAATCAAAATTGTAAACTAGGTTGAGCTCAATATTTAAGTTTTTATCCATTAGTGTCTACCTTAATGTCTAGGAAAACTTATAATTTTAGCAGTTCTACTTAAAAGAGACAGTAAGGTGTTCTAGTTAACACTCATAAACAATTTAATTTAGGTGGTTGCCAATGTTTGTATTATTCCTCTGAATTACAAGTTTGGAATAAAATCCCATCACTTTAGAATGTTAAAACATTATTACAGCAAAAAAATCTGTCAAAGATTACATAAACAATCAAGGTTAAAAAACCAAATATTGGGCCCTCCCAGGTGCGCAGCAGGTTAAAGCACAGCACCGAGAAGCTTAAGCCACTTCTGCATGAGTTCGATTCCTGCCTGCCCCGGAGGAGCTCGGCAGACCTCTCCTGACTCGCCCGCTGCTCCCCTCAGCAGCTTCCTCCATCTGCCTGTTCTGCTCCCAGCTCTGGTGAATCCCTCACCCTCCGCATCTCTGGCCTGTACCCCAGTTCTATATGAATAAATAAAAAAAAAATAAATCTTTAAAAAAAAATATTCACGTTAAAAGGATGCTTTTGACTCAGGAAGGTTGGAATTGTTACTGTATTTTCAAATAAAAAAAAAAAAGAGTAGTTTCTACGCAGTTCTTTCAGAACACTTGGAATACTATCCCCTTAGAATACTAAGTCGACCACAACAGGCAAATGATCTTTTCTCACAAATAAGTATAAAAATAGCAAGTAAATGTATCAGAAAAGATATGACTTCATGATTAAAGAAATGTAGAAATGTAAAGCAAAATAATAATGTAACATTTAACTATGATAATATAGCACAGTACCTGGGATACAGTAAGTACAATTAGTAATAAAAATATCTGTATTTGCCCAAATTAGTAATGGTTTAAAACAAAGAGGTGCTGCCCCTACACATGCAGTATACTGAATTATGAAATACAAAATTATAAATTTAGCTTTTTACAGAGAAATAAAATATTCAATCTAATATGTAGTAGTCATTAAAAATTAGTCTTCAATATACTGAATTATGAAATACAAAATTATAAATTTAGCTTTTTACAGAGAAATAAAATATTCAGAGAAATAAAATATTTCAATCTAATATGTAGTAGTCATTAAAAATTAGTCTTCAAGGCTGAAATAAAAGAAAAACTGGTCAAAAAAGGAACAACTATGCAAGAAGCTAACAATGGCTTATATTGGAAACTTGGTAATTTTGTTTTTTTACTGTCCAAGTTTTTTTTTTTTAACGTTAAAGTTAGAAACAGTAAATGCAAGAGGGAAAGGTGGCTCTAGATTATTTTTAGTTTTCTGTATTCATTTTACAGAAAGTCATTATCAGAAAAAGCTCATGGAAGTATCCTATTAAAAAGGACAAGTCAAAAAAATCCACCACTTACATTCTTAGTACAGCCATAACCTAAGTTTTTCTGTAATTAATTTAGAGTTACATAGGGGGAATATTTTTAGTACAATGTGAAAAAATCACATTGGTTTGTCCAGCCTGTGTCTGTACTACTAAATAACAACATCTGAAACCCAAAATAGGCAAACACAGAAGAAAGGAAGAAGTTGCTGAAGACACAATACTATACATAAATTTCATGCAGTGCATGTTCTTTACCAACACAATTTGTCCAAATGCTTTCTAAATGAACTCTTCTCTCCAAATCTTTATGCATTTTATAGGCTAACCTCCAGAACCCTGTAGCTTCAACCTTCCATGTTAATTCTTCCATCAGACAACTTTCACCATTTTTTTCTTTTTAATCCTAAATTAACAGTAGTATTTCCTTTAGTTATAAAAACTATAACGTCCTTTTAAATATTCTAGTATTATTACTGAATTTTACTTATATTAGTGTTCTACAAAGTTTCATGTTTTGGGTGAGCTTTCTCTTAACTGTGCAGAATTTCAGTATTCGCAGGAATATGTAGTGTGAAATGTAACAGAAAGGCTTACCTATTTCACAACAAAGATCAAGAAAACTTGGAATTTTTACCTTTAGGAGAAACTACTTCTTAAAATGAACTGAAACCTTTCAGTAGAAGATCATTAATAACGTACATGGATGTTTGCTTTACAAAACGAGGGCCCTCCCTGGCTGAGCAATGGGTTTGGATGTAGCACTGCAAACTAGCCACAGCTGCTTCAGTGCAAGTTCCATCCCCTGCCCAGAAGGTGATCCACCTCGCGAGGCAGACCTGCTGCTCCCCTAAGCAGTGTACCTCGTAGATCTACCTGTGGATTCTCTCACCACCCCTGTACCTCTGGCCTATACCCCAGTTCTGTATACATAAATAAATAAATCTTTAAAGAAATGAGTAAAGAAATCTGGGCTAGCACTGTTATTTCCATACATTAACCTTTTAAGAAAAATACTTCAAAAAACCACATATAATAGTCACACATATTAAATGTCACTCAAAATAAGTGTTTAAGGCCAAGAGAATATGATGTGAGATTTGAAAAATGTACTTTAATTTCTTAGGAATGTTAGTAGCATAACCCAAGTAACATATAAAAGCCAATTTTTAAAATTAAGACATTGTTACCCAAAAAAGTGGGCAAATATACAAGATAATTTAACCAAATACACATTTGTGATATGATTCAAGAAAGAATTCCTCCTCAATAATTTGAAAAGTAGAGTTTAAATAAACTCAGTACACTCACTATGGGGCTCTTTCCTAGAGGTTCACTATAATGGCCAGATGGCGATTGAGAAGGCTCAGGATTTAAAAGTACCATGTTTCCAACTCAAGCAGCTTTGCGGTTCCTGCATCTCTCAAAGGTGTTTAACAAAGTTCTAAATATCTGCAC